GAGCAAAATTGAGAGATAAATTTCTCCGTTGCTTCTTTCCCGTTAACCCAAAGAAACGGATAATGAATGGTAATAAAAAATTTATAAACAAATAGCTCAACATCCGCCTCTATTAAAAATCGCATTCAAGATGAGGAACAAATCTCCTTGTTAACAAACACCACTAATCTAAATAAACCTAGTCATTTTCGTTTTGACGAATTCTGGATAATATTAAAATCCCCCATGGCCAATTGGCGACAGTATACTTTACAGCCAGATTATAAAACTCCAATAATTGCATCCAGACACATCATTAACTCATCATCTAGGACAGGTTCTCCCAAATTTTCCATGTGTCCGTTTTCCAGAGGTTCCAGCCAAAATGATTTGCCACCTTTCGTGACGTTGAAACTAATCCTGAAACTTGTTTTCAGACTCCTGTGATGATTTCACCTCCCACCTAACATGGTTTATCCAATCAGGATATGTAGTGAAGGTTTCAACCAGGTCAGTCGGCTTTAATTTTCCCCGTTAATGTAATCAAAGGCAGACTATTCCTATCCAAAAAAAAATTGCATTCACTAGAAATTACCATCTCATAATCTCTCCAAGAATCGAAACTTAATCTACAATGCAATCAGAAAATCTACTTTGCGAATAAAATTGCTTGGGCTTGGAAATATTAAAACCAGTGTGATGATGCATCATATCAGAATAAACCAGGCGTCTTCTTTCGATGCTGAATTTAAACAATCGGTGCTGAATTTAAACAAAGGAAAAAAAGCATACATTCTGAAGACAGGTAGAAAATATACGTGCACAAGCTCTTGCAGTTGTATTTGTTCTGTAATCTATGTTTGCATCTTTGATTTCCTTCACCACAAAGTAAAGAATCAGAACGTTCTATGACTTTTTACTCTTTGACTACCTTCTTGTTATTAGCATTTTTGTCAAACTTTTTACTTAATCAGGTGGGAAATCTAGTAGGTGTCGTAAACTTCAATCAACGAGCTTAGTGGGGAGGGGAACTTTTTTTTTTTGAACGGCAAAGTTTTATTGAAAATATAGAGTACAAGGGGTACTCAAACCCATAAACAACACCATCTCCAAATTTTACAAACCAGAAACAAAGGAAAGCCCCCTAGAAATGCACTGTTTGCACACAATATCAATTTTTGAAACATGCAACTGGATCAATCAACCAATCTGAGAAAGTAACAGTGGCCCAATCATTCCTAGCTTTTATCCACCAAAAAGATCTCAGTTGAATAAGTTCTAAGAGTGTATCAGGATTTACCTCTTTACAATGGAAGATTTTCTGGTTTCTAGCAATCCAAATGGACCAAGCGGCTATTTTCTAGATGCTATCCATGCCTTCTCTAATTTTTGCTCCTTTGGTGTTCCTCCCGAGGAGTTGAAAAGTGTTCCAGCAGTCTCTGTTCACCATCATCTTTGACCCCCACCACTTAGAGCAAGCCTTCCATGTCCACCTTGCAATTTTGCAATTTAAGAACAAATGAGTAGCATCCTCTTCTTCATCATTACAAAGGGCACATTTGGTTTCTGTCACTTCCTTAATGATCCCTCTTCTTAGCAAATTAGCTTTGGTAGGAATTTTATCCAGTAGTAATTGCCAATTGAAAGCTGATATTTTACTTGGAAGGATGGGATTCCATATTCTTTTGTATATCTTCTCTTCATTCAATTCTACCCGCTCCCTTGTTAGAAGAGAATACGCACTTTTGGTTGAATATTGCCCTCCCTTATCATGAGTCCATTCCCATCTATCCAGGTCTCCTTCTGCTATCTTCACGTTTTCTATCCTCTTTTGGAGCTCCACGACATCATCAACCTCCCACTCATACAAGTTCCTTCTCCAATTAAGATTCCATGACCATGTGCC